GTAGCAGTGACAGTGTTAATGGGAAGGACCATCAAGGACATTTTTGGTGAACATAGCTGACACAGAGCACCAGAATGAGATATTCATTTTGCCTTTAGACACAAATTTCTCCAAAGTGTAGAGAAACTGCTTGCCCACTAACTAGATTTCCAACTACCCTCTAATTTCCACTAATTTTTGTAGCTTCTATGAGAAAGAAACTACTTATTATTTTTTAAAAGCTATCTTGAATTTAATCCCCAAAACCCCACAATTTCTCCACAACCAGAACACAAACTTTCTGCTTCTCAGAATTGGGACCTCAGGACCTTAACACTCTGAAGCATTAAGGGCTCAGTTAGTCTCAGATGGGATGCCTCAAAGTAGGAAATTTAGACTCATCTATTTTGCAATTTAAAATAAAAACAAGGTCTATTAGTGATTGAATATTATAATTTCATTCACTTTCATCAATTACTATATTAAATTGCCTAAACTATCTACTGTATTTCTCCCACATCTTGTTTGTTTATGGCTTTCAATGGGCCAGCAGATCACCTAGATGACTTGGACCATAGCATCCAGAAGGTACGATGCCCAGGCAAAATTCTACAAGTGAAGATGTTGTAAGCATCCTTCTGCCTAGCCTCTCTCCACCCTGATTCCCATTTGACTTTAATTTGCCCCTATTGCCAGCTCAGTGATCTTTGCATTCCTGAAAGAACAAGACAGTGAATGTCAAAGTCAAAAAATATTCATAAGCCCTTTGCTAAACCCACTGAAACAAAAGAAAGCACTTCTGGTATCTGGCACCTCGTAATTAAGAAACAACGCCTCCTTAGTAATAGAGGGAATGTGGAGCAATGAGAGGGCTCAGCCAGAACTCCTGCCAAGCCCAGAGAACCAGCTTGGTTGGTAGAGGAGACAAATAGATACCATGAGTCAGTCAAGTCTAGCGTATACTGTAAGCCATCAAATTCACAGAGCCTTCTGTGAATCAACATAAAACTGTCCTCTTGGCTTCCAAGTTCCACAGAAGTCACAGCAATAAGATGGGACTCCTTGGAAAAATCAACTGCAGAGAATTCATAGCAAAAGGGCTTTAATAGGCATAGGAAATGGAGCTTCACTGCAAATGTCACCTCTGGATGATGGAGCTGTCCAGGGGGCTGTGTTCAAGGAGGATCTGAGTCTACAACCACAATAGGAAGGAAAAGTAATGTCTTCCTTTGCTTAGGAGTTGAGGCAGAGTTTCCCCAAAATAGGCTGTCTAGGCAACACTGGTCTTAGGCAGAATGAGAAGGAAGATGAAGATTGCTCTGAGAAAACCCAGCTTCTCTCTAACTTTCTCCACCTCTGCCCCACGGTACTCAATGCCCAGGTTCTGTTCTGTCATTAGCCCCTCAGCCCTCCTTCTCCCAGTTCTTGTCCTGGCTTCCTTCTCTGGTATAAGCACAAGGACAAGGACTGACAAAATCTGGAGGAACTGGAGACCGAGTCCCATGGTTCCCATAAGCCATAGGGGGCCAAAGAAGAAGACATCTGGTCTTTTTTCTGGATTCACTCCCTTCCTCCAAGCAGCTCCTATTAGTTCACCACAAAAATCCTCTCTTACCTGAGACCTGGGCTCCAAGTGACAATAAGAACAGTAGGACAAAGAGGAGAAATCCAAACAGTTAAAAAAAAAAAAAAAATAAGGATGGTTGTCATTGGGGCAAAACTTAGACACCAGCTTTCCCAGGGATTGTATGTGTTCAATTTGGTTCTGCCCACATAGAGATGCCCTCAAAATGTTCTAAGTCCTAAAGGGCCAGCACTGGTCTCAGTGGCCCTGTCCAGGTCTCAGAAGCCACCAGTGCACATGAAGGTACATCTGCCATGGGAGAAGGGAGAAACAGCAGAAGAGAGCTAGGCCATCTTTCCTCCTCCTTAAGGTTGAAGCTTGGACAAAGGCAGAAGAGTGTAGAGAAGACTCTCCTCCTTTCGGGTCTAGGGTAGCACCACATCGGACCCAAAGGCCAAACCCGGGTTCATTGCTGTGAAAACTAAGTTCATCCCTAGCAAGGTGAGGCCCCTAGAGGAGAGTGCAGTCACTGTTCTTGCTGCACAAGCTTAGTCCTTCTAATGGGGAAACTGACCCAAGATGCCTGACAACCCTTTTACTCTGTTCTGAACCAAGAGATTTGGAAGCTATGTATGCAAACCTCTAAGTCCCTCAACTTATCTCTCTACCTGCAATCATAACAAAGACATTTAATAAATGATGAGTAAATGATAAATAAATGGATGGACCAATTGATGACTCCAGCCTCTCAGACCATACGATCCACTCAGAGATGGGCCTTTTTGAATACTCCCTCAGCTAATGAAGAAAGAAGACCTGTCTTCCCAACCTTCCCATGGAAGAAGCTGCTTTCATCAAACCTTCCCATGACTAAGGTAGCCTCAGGGAGGGACCTGTTACCTTGGACCATTTTAGCCCACCCAGTCAGGACATGGTGTACCTACTAGGTCAACCAACCCAACTTCTTCCTTGCCAGCCATGATTCTCCCTCCTCTCTCTTCCTACCAGGGAGAGAATGGCAAGCATCTGGCACAATCAGAAGATCAAGCCAACTGTAGTATAAGCCATAGCTCAGGAATTTAGGGCTGAAAACCTTAGTAAGTTACTAAACCCTCCTGTGTCTCCATGTGGCGCTCAGTAATAGGGAATAATAGCACCCGCCTCATTGGTGTCACGGCATTTCCATTAGAATGCGAGCTTTACAGGGAAGGGGCGCCAGGGTGTTTGAAAGCTGGACACATCATTCACAAAGTAGACTGTGTGTGCAGCACCCCCTAGAGTTGTGTTTTGTTAATCACATGTAGTGTAGAACAGGGATTTTGTCTGTTACCACAATAGTCCCTGACTCATAGTAGGAACTCAATAAATGATGATTGGGTAAATGAACACGACTTTCATAGGATATAACTAAATGATTTAGGAAAAGGACATGGCTTTTGAGTCGATGCTCAGTAAAAGGTAGTGGTGATTAGTATTGATAATGTCATTAAGTTAATTGGTAAAGCACGTTCCCCCCAGCCTGGCTTTTATAAATCCATAGGTTGTGGACTTGACCAAGTGTCCAGCTCCAGACAAGGGTAGTTTCTCTCACATCCTCCCACCATGTCACTTGCTTGGCCTGGCCTGTCCCCTTCCTGCCCTTGGCCCAGACCTGATCCCAATATGACTCCAAGGCTGCAGCAGAATCTCAGAGTTGCCATCTGGCTGCCTCGAAAAAGTCAGGACTTTCCTCTTCTCTGCCTTTTCTTGGCTCCCTCCTTTGGCACCCGGGAGCCTATTCAGTAGCCTGGTTCTACTCAAAGGCCATAGCTCCTTCTTGGAAACAGCGCAAGTGTGAAAACAAGGGGCTCACACACCTCTGCCAACAGGGACGTTGCATAATGACAGCACCGTGTTCCGGGTGAAGAAAACCCAGTGTCAGAAGGCAGGGTAGAAACTTTTTCCCTATGCTTAAAGAGGCTGTGTGGATTTCTAGGCTGTTTCTCCTTCAAAGGGACAGATTTGGGTTTGAAAATCAGACACCCCTGGCCTCAGCGCGGAGGTGCCTCGCCTTCCGCACCAGCACCACACCCACAAGAACAACCTCCTCCTTTTGGGGGACAATAGGTAGCTGCCGCCTTTGTATAAGGTGAACAGTTTTCAGGAAGGTACCCACCCCAGAAATATGACCTCTCTGAATGCCTAGGATTCCACTACTACTGATTCACCCCTTTGGGCTCAGCACCACCCACTCTCTGACACTCTTAGAAACACAGACTCTCCTGGGAGGGTAACACGCAAAGTAATGCCTTGAGTGAATAAATGCATCAGGCGTTGTGTTTCCTCCTGATAGGAATATCTAGGTGTTTCGCCCATGGAGTTGGGGTGGATCTTGCAAGAATCCAAGAGGAAAGAAGCCTTTGAAGTTAAACTTTGTTAGCGTCACCTGGTTTCCAAGAGTCAAGTCTACCAACATCCTCCAAAGACAGCTGGCTCTGGAGCTGTTTATTTCCATGAATTAATCACCAAAGGATTAAAAGAGGCAACACACACAAACAGCCCTACCTCCATACCCACATGCAACAGATACTCGGCAAATGCTAGTCTCTCCCACCTTCCCCATGAATGAAAAGAATAGATTTGTCTTTGGGGAAAGGGCTGGCCCCTCATCCTCAGGGGAAGGACAAGTGGAAGAATTTAGGTTTCCTCTCTACCCCTTCTCCCTGCCCATTGAGTGTGAATACTCCTCTGCCCAGCCAGCTCCTTTGGTCGATGTTTTCTAAAAGAGAACTGAGAGGGAACCAGGTACAAAGCTTGAGTGCCTACTCACTGGGGACCTCCAATTGGGTTTCCCAGGTCCTAAAGCTATGAGAGGCTAAAGAGTCTCTTGCTTGGCATTGATTGGGCTCTGCTTCCCTGCTCTGCCAGTTCCCTCCAGAGGACCAGGACCTGCTCTGTGTTGGGATGCTGGTCTCGGGGACAGCATCACCAGCCTCCTTTGCTCTCTAGCTTCTAGTTAGAGTCAGCCAATGGGGATCCCCACCAGAGGTTGGGAGACAAGGAGAGAGAGATGTGAGCTCTGTCTTTCCCCCTAAGCCCTTCCTATTTGGCAAGGTTGGCAACAGCTGGATCTCCCTAGCGCTGGCCACAGGTCATAGGAGGCAGCTCCTTGCCATGATACCAATCATTCCTGTACCAAAGGTAGAGTCATCACCAGTCTCCTGCTGGCTCCTGGGAGCCTGCAGCTCTTACTGATTATCACCCTCTAACTGTCACCCACAAGCGGCCTTGTAAGGACCAAATGAGATTACAGAAGCAGTTTCTGCACAAATACCCAGGGAAAAAATGAAACATCCATGAGAAAAAGCTTCCCTTGGGGAGAGGGGAGGAGGGGGCACATGTTAAATCAGCACCAAGATGAACCTAAAATGTCACCTGTCTGTGCTCACCAGTCCATTCTCGAGGGCCTTGGGCTCACCTGGGTGTCCAGATCTGCTCTTTCCATTGTGCTTCTTCTACCTGTGTGCAAAGCATTTTAAGATCTTATCTGTTTTTTGTTTCTTATGGTTATTCCCAGGCATCTCTCCAAGCAGGGAGGATTTCCCCCTTGGGGAAATCCAAGCCATGGAGTATTTGATCAAAGATGTCATACCTTCCCAAAGAAAGATGAAGAAGAAACAGAAACAAGATTCTCCTCTTTGGCGCCTTTCTTTTCTTTGAACAGGAAATTACCCAATTTATACTTTAAACCAAAATGCCAGTTGTTCCTCACAATCTTAGAGCCTCTGTGTGACAAAAAAAAAAAAAAAGTTAGAGCTGAAACAACTCTTAGCATACTGAGTACAGCAACATGTTCCCTTCCATTTGCAGATGGGGAAACAGAGGCCAGGAGAGGAAGGGCAGAGCCTGGACTGAAAACCCAGGTTTCCTGGCACCAGAATCAGCAGTCTTCCCACCACTCTGAGGACAAGGATTCCTCAAGCCCCACTTACCCAGTTTAGGCCTTTACCCTACTGAATTTACTTACCTATGTCCCATACAAAACTATAAGTTCTATAAGGACAGAAACCAAGCCCCAGCCCTGCTTCTGTGTTTGGCACACTAATTCTTTCTAGAAGGAATGTATATTCTGTGCACGTGTCTCTGTATTTTCAGACATCAGTCATTTAACGCATACCCAGTTCTACCAGCCTCATTGATTAGCATCAATGAGGAGACCTCAAAATCACAAGCCCTTAAAAAAATCCCCAAGGCTGTCCTTTTGTAAACTCCACTATAGGTGCCCTGACCCTTGAGCTTTGTATACAGAAGAAGTCTGGGTCAAATGAACATGCAGAAAAGGCTCAGAAAGAAGTAAGTGGATAGAGAGGCTCCCAGGAGCAGCATGGCAGGTCAGCTTTCCTGGGAAGCAGGCTGCTGCCCTTCAGATATCACTAGTCATTGACTATTGCCTCAGTTATTACTAAGTGCAAATTTTCTTAAAACATCCATTCGTGATTGTCACTCCTCCTCCCACCCTATCCTTACCCAACGCCACTCCTGCTCAGAGGTGACACTGGGAAGAGGAGGAGAGGTTGCCATGTGCAGGGTTCAGGACAACGTTTGCTCTGAGAAGTGGCTCTGAGCCAACAAGAGAAGTGGTGATCAGGAGTGGCAGTTTGCAAGGGATGGCATGAGTCCAGCCCTCAGGATTCTCCTCCAGTGTCAAGCTTCCTGTCTATAAAATATTACCTGAACTCACAATAACAGGTCATACAAAATGCCCCTGATTAATCATATCATTTATGCTACTCATCAACCCTCAGTAAGGCAAGATTGCTTCCACCATGTTAAGATGAGGAAGCAACAACTCAGGAAGGAATAGTCACACAGCTAGCAAGTGGAAGAGACAGATTCAAACTCAAGTCTTCCTTTGCACTGAGTCTTGAGAAGAAACAGTGAGAGATGTGGGCTTGATGAAGGTAAAGCAGCCTTGTGTTGAACCAGCCTTCTTCAAACCACAACCTTGGCCTCCACCACAGAGTTTTATGGATGACTTAATTCCTCTTTGTCAATACCAGGCAAGATGGCAGCCAAGCTCAGCCCACACATGGGGCTCTGCACCTCCGATTGCCCAAGGGCATTCTGGGAGTGCAGGTAACCTTTGTCAGCTGGAAAGAGGATGATCAGAGGTCTCTTCTACCAATAGAAAGTCATCAGGTCTATGTGTTGGCCACAGCACAGAGCGGGGACAACCCTGTCCTAGTTCAGGGAGCATGGACACAGCACACTACAGTGTTGAGGCCAACACTGTAAAGTCCTCAGGGTGTTAGATGTCTGGAATGACACAGAGAAAGAAAAAGAAAGGAAAATGTGAGGTTGATAAAAACATACAGCGAATATTTAATTTTTTTTAAATTATATTACAGTAAAAGACACATTGCTATTAATCCCCCTCAGAATACTCCCCCTCACTTCAAGTACACTTATCCTAATGTTCTTGCCACTTTCTGAAGCAGTTCTGGAAGTTCCCTTTCATGAATGTCTTTAAGAGGTGTGATCAAAAATATGGTGAATGCTGCTGCATGCCATCCAGTGAAAAAGCAGGCTGGTGAAAACATTGTGATGTGTCCTCGTTCACTGGACACAGAATCTGGCACGGTGTGACTTCTGACTCTTCCCTAAAGTCAAAATGACGATGAAAGGTAAACACTGAGAGGATTCGGGTTATCAAGGCAGCCATGACCATGGAACAAAGACACTTGGAGAGGCAGCAGTTAAATTCTATTTTACAACTCCTATAACACTCAGCCTGGTCAAAAGAATGGATAGTGTTTAGGTTCAAATCCCAGCAACATCATGTTCTGGCTCTGACCTATCTGAGTTGGCTTCCTCATCTTCACAGGGTTGCTGGACAGAGCTGAGATACTGCATGCATAGCTGTAATTCCTTTCTATAATCTGGGTATAGTACTAGCTGCCATGTGTTGCTTAGCTCCTTTAATCTTGAGAGCTCTGGGAGACAGACCTCTTTCATCACTACTTTATATTGAAGACACCGTCTCAGAGCAGGTGAGTAACTCCCTCAAGGCATTCAGCCAAAGAGTATTGGTGCTGGGAGAATAAATGTCAGCCAGTAGTCTGACATCCTGGTTCCAACCTATGAGCACCTTGAAAGCAGACATCGGGACTTGGGCTGAGATTTTTATTAATTATGAAATATTCCGAACATGCAAAAGTATGTAATATTACAGATCTCCATGTAACACTCAGCCTTAGAAAAAATGTGGTAAAATTACAAACCTCCTAAATCATTTATCTCCTCACCCTCCCCAGAGAGTGCCCATCTTTCCTTGCTTAACAGCTGGAGCAGCTGCTCCAAGCCAGGGATGGTTTCCAGATACGAACCTGCTCTAATCATCTTCCAGAATTGGGGATTCATCACTTGCATACCCATTCTATACCATTAACATATACTCGGGTAGTAATATTGGGTCTAGGTTGCATGGTTTAAAATTTTACATAAATGGTAGAACATGCATGAAGTCTTCTGAAATACCATGTCTTCTTTTTTCTTTTTTTTTTTTTTCTTTTTTGTACCAAGGATTGAACTCAGGTCCTTGCACTTGCAGGGCAGGCAGTGGCACCACTGAGCTAAATCCCTGGCCCCTTTTTCCTTTTTTTGAGACGAGGTCTATCTAGGCCTAGGCTGAGTTTGAGCTCATAGGCCTGGACGCAATCTTCCAGCTTCAGCCTCCTAAACAGCTGGAACTAGCAGTGCACTACCATGCCTGGCTGAAATATTGTATCTTTATAATCTTTTCTGTTTAGAAAAAGAGAGAGAGACAGAGTGAGAACACTTTATGACAATATTAGATATCATAATAATAAATGCATTGACTTGAGTTGCAAACACAACCCTAAGACAGGAGCTTCAAACCTTATCCTGCACGATATTTTTTTAAATGTGCTTTTCAGTAAGTGGGGAGCTATCGGGAAGGGTTGTGAAGGATGGTACTGCCATTTGTCCTGACCAAATTTCAAGCTAGGATCCCAAGGATAAAATGATAGTGCTGATAACATAGCTTTCCATTTGTGTAGTGGGTTGACATTTTTAAGGCTTTGTCCTACACATTACTCTTTTGGGGACCATCATGTTAGTGGGAGGATAGTCTTCCCGGGGAAGAACCTTCAGACACTGCCTTTCAGCCTCATTCCTCTTCACCAGTGTGTAGTTGAGTGGGTCTTTCTGAGGGTATCCTCCAAAGAGGCTCAACCCAAAGAGAATCCGTGACCTATTTACTGGTAGTTAGGTGAGGCTGTGTCTTCCTGGGAGTTCCCGGGAAGTTAGGCCTTGGTAAGGAAGGGATGTGGACAACCCGCCCGAAGTCCTCTTTCTCTCTTCCTTGGGGTGCCCTGTCTGCTACCTTCCAGCCCCCTGCCCAACATCCCCAGCACCCTCTTGCTGATCCAGAGTGTCCAATTACTCATCTTTTCCTTTCTGAGCCCCATAACACAGCCCCATGCACTCCCACATCGCTCCCTGCTCCCTGCAAGGCCTCCAGTACCATCTGAGAGTACTTAGTGCTTAGCCCAGGGCTGCCCAAACTTTGTACTTGTCTGGGTCACACTGAGTGAAGAGGGATTGTCTTGGGCCACATATAAAGAATATAATGTAGTTAATGTATATAAGTAACAAAACCTCCTTTATTTTTAATATTTTATTATACCATTAAAATGATATAAGTAAAAATCTAAAAATTAAGCAAGAAAACTTACATGTCTGCTTAATAATAATATTGTATTACTTTACAGGCACACACACATGACGGGGGTAAGTTGAAATACTATGATTGGTAATCACTAATGCGTGCTTTACTTGCCAAGTGGCACAGGCACATTTAATGCCTAATTCATATTCTCTGAGACATCAGAAGCCTGGAGGAAAAAAAAAAAAAGCAGTACGGTAAATTGTCATTAAAAAATCAATTCATTTTTAAAATTATAACATCAATGATTTCATGGAAGCCATCCACATTCTATTTGAAGATGTAAAAGTGCCTCTTCCCAGGTAGCACATTCAGTAAAGGCAGAGTCTTGGTTCCCATTGAAATCCTCTGAGACTCTCACCAATGTTCCCTTTGTCGTTATAATCCCCGCTCTGAGTCTTAGTAGAGAAGGCAAAGCTCTCCCTCCTGAGCCCTGGATGCCCAGCTGAGTATCATAGAGGACTGTGTGCAACTAGCTACTCAGAACAGGAGAGTGTCTGCCACATGCTCACAGCATTTGAGATTGTGAAAGACGTGCTCGAAATGAAATCTAATGATCAGTATTCACTTTTATGGCATGGTTTATAAAAATATAGAGTCTCATAAAGAGCCACTGTGACCAACCAAAAGCCTGTTAAGTGCCTAGAGCTTTTATTTCAGAGCTAACAATCTGAGTTCCTCACATGTCCCCATGGATGCCCCACATGACCCTGAGCCCCTGGCTTAAACTTCTTGTGCTTCATTTTCTCTGTCTGTAAAAAAGAGATAATGACACTAGCCACTGGACCGTGTTGGCAACATCCTTGGAGATCCCCAGATCAAAGCTGCTCTGCCTGGGCCAAGCGAGATGATAATGGTGCTTACCATCATTAGTGTTGTTATCATTATTGTTGTTGTTTGGAGTGACCACATTGCAGCCCAGGAAGTAGACACAACTCCGGGGCTGATTCAGCACCAGAAACAACTGGGGAGGCATTTTTTTGCACTGCAGAAGTCATTGGTGTTGAGACTGCCCCTTTCACTGAATCAGAGGATAGCATGTTCCTAGACTCCTCTTGTGGCAAGAGGCACTGTTCTTCCTGGAGACAGGGCCATGCCTCGAATACCTCAAAGATGTAAATGTCTGCGGGGGAAAGAGGCCAATGATAAAGATATTATTTATTTGGTGATAAGGTTACCCTCATCATACAGCCAGTTAATGCGCCTTGGGCTTGCAGCTGGGAAGCATTAGATTGGTGTTCCAACTCTACCACCTTATGACCTTACCCATGAGCCATCATTTCTCAGGGTCATCATTTCCTGATTGTAATAAGGATGTTATTTTAGTGATTGTAAAATAATGATCACTAAAGCAATCCCTTGGTCTCCTGATCCTGATACTTATAGTGACCTTAAAAGTCACAACAGGGGATTCTTCCTGGACAAGATCTTGCCTGGCACATTTCTCCACAGTTTAATGACAGTGCCTAGCCCTGGTCTTCAGCAGGCTGTTGACTCCTCACTACATGCAAACAGTGATGTTCTAAGTCTGGGACAAGGAAACATACTGAACTTGTTTTGGAATTTACCAGCAAAGTAGGAACTCAAAATAGAGACCCAAATTCTGTGTACTAGTAAACGCTCCTCGTGGTTCTCAAAGTATACTCATGTGGGACCATCACCTGCCTTAATATGACCAGTATACCAAAAGTCACCCATCTGGACCCATCTGGATGAATTTGAAAAGAAGCTCCTCCTGGGTGCTTGCCATTTGGCAGACACCTGGTTTATTAGCAAATTTTATATTGTGCAAATGGGCACAGCCCTCTGCTAGATCCAAGTCTTGGTATGTGGAACACAAGCTGGATTTTAACACCTAAGAGGCTCCTTAGCTTGCACTTCTAGGAGTTTCTTGGAGCCCCTTGTGTACCTTAAAGAGTCGCCTCATCTCCACCACCATCAACTGGTTTTTATTGCTTTACATGATACTGGCCAACTTTCAAATCATTTATTTGAATAAAATGGGATGTTTAAAGGTTTAACAACTACTATACATATACATATATATACACACATATATAATAGAAATAAATAAAATGATCATTTGGAGATATATAAAAGCCCAAATGTGAAAAACACATTTTCTTAGGCGATGGTAGTTTAAAAGAGTAAGTGTAAGAATTTGTAGTTTATGTGAGCTCAGAACTACAAAAAAAATTTTTTCTTCTCTCTAATTGGATGTGCTTTCTACCTAGGACCCTATTCTGATCAATGTAGAATAATTAGTTTAGTTACTTTCAAGTAAAATAAGTCCACGCCCATGTTTTTTAATCACCATTTCATCTCAGTGTCACCATGTGTACAATGAAACAAGGAATTTACCTCCTCCGTCTTTCTCACATGCTGGCCTCTGACTTCAAATGTAAATCACCCCACCTGGTTATGTCCCATGTTGGAGAAGTTGGAATGCAGCTACATCTTTGTCAGATGACTGGAAGTGTCATCCGAACACTCTCTGGCCTTGCATGAGATTTATTCTCATCTCGACATAGAGTTCCTAATGGGCCTCTCAGCTCTGGATTTTGTTTTCTCTCTTCCCTCCTCTCTCCTCTCTCTCTTTCTCTCTCCCTCTCATCCTGTCGCTTTGGTATGAGGCATGATCAAAATATATGGTGAATGTTTAAATTTTTAAAATAATTTATAACAGTAAGAGGCACATTGCCATTAATCCGTCTCACTTTGAACACACTATTCCCATCATTCTTGCCACTTTCTGAAGCAGTTCCAGAAGTCCTCTTTTGTGAGTGTCTTTACAAGGTGTGATCAATTATGTAGTGAATGCCCCTACCAAGTCAATCCAACAGGAAGGCAGGCATGTAAATACATTACAGTATATCTGTATCTGCCTTATTCACTGGACTTCGCATGTGCAAATTGTGGCTCTGTCCAAAAGTTAAAATGACCATGAAAAGTAAACATTTTGAATCGATCTAGGGCATTGAGGCAACAACAGTAACACAACTAACAACACTCATGAAAGAAAACATCCATAAGTGCTTTAAAAAGTGGCAAGAACAATGGAATAAATGAGTTCAAAGCAAGAGGGGATTAAAGGCAATGTGTCTTTTACGATAATAATTTTTACAATTTAAATATTCACCATATGTTTCCAGCATATCTGGTACATCAACTTAATGCCAGGCTTGGCATTCTAAGGCTTTGGGAAAACTGGGTGGCTGACCCGATGCCTCCTTCTCCCCACAACACATCACACCACTTTTACTCTATGGCAGATTCTCTGTGATAAGTAGAGGACTTACCTGAAGATTGGTGACTCCCAGTCTGTGCCCTGAGAAAACGGATAGTGGTTCCCTGTACTTAAAGTAGATCATATTGTGCCTCCATGGCCAAGTTACATCTCACAAAGTGTAGGGTGACACAGAGGAAGGCCACTCACACTCTTTTCTAGCCCTCTTCCTTCATCTCTGTCTCTCCTCCTCCCAGAGCCAGAGTCACTGGTGAGGGAAGGAACTGAACTGATCAACTCCACCTCCTGAATTTTGCTGTCTTCTATCTGGACTATCACACATGCAAACTTAAAAGAAAGCATTTGCCACCTCAGTTTTGAAGATATACCATGTCATACATGGAGAAAGGTTCTCCAGATGCAAGTATGTGGAATATGGAAGATGTGGCAACATGTGCATTCATATGTCACAAGCTAGAACTTGTGGATAAAGACAAGTAGAGAGGAGGGTGGAGGTGGAACATTAGCAGTGCTCTGTGAATGGGATCACTCTAAGAAAAATGAATATCAAGCCATGGAAATAAAAGCAAAGCAAAATGGGAAGACTCTAAAGATATGCATCAAAGGCTTTTTTCCTAAAAATATGTGTCCCTTACTGCCTAGTAATTCCATTTCTGGGGGTTAGCTTTAGATATTAGACAAATACAGAATGGCTATCTACAAAAAAGTTCCATGCAAAATTATTTATAGTGGTAATAATCTTCACGTTCCATAGCAGGAAGCAGATATGTAAATAACTATGCTCTTGCAATACAATATTATGTAATCATTAAAAAGCAGTGATTCTAAAGCTATAGTTAATGAAATACAAAGATATCAAGATGTCTGGTTAAGTGAAAAAAAACAAGTCACTAAACCAGAAGAACAGCATAAGCACATTTTTATTGCATGGATATAGGATAAGTTATATTTATATGTTATACGTACATATACATTCATCATCCAGTATCTGCAGCGTCCTTGTTCCAGAACCCTCACTCCATACCAAAAGCCCTTGATATTCAAGTCCCTTACAGAAAATAGCATAGTATTTGCCCATCTTTAAGTCATATCTAAATTTCTTGTAATACCCAATATAATATAAATGTTACATAAATAGCTGTTTATGAAGAACTGGCTATATAAGGTACTAAATTTACATACAAATGTATAAACATAAATATGATATATAAATATTGGTAGTAGCTATTCTGATATGTAATTCTCCCTGCTTTCTTTATCTATATGTTCTGAATTTTCTGAAAAGAACTAGTATTAATTTTATGGTTAAAAAAAAGTAAGAAACAAGGTTCTGATTATGTTCAGAAGATAACTTGTGTGGTTTAGAGAAAATAGAGGAAAGTCACTCTCTAACTCACAGGCAAAGAAGGGAGTTACTCTTCCTGGAAACGCACTAAGAAGACCAACGTGCTGGCTTCTGAGACAGCTCCTCTGTCCCCTTGCTCTTTACAAACTGTGATTCAGGGTTCCTTATGGCAAGAAACAGCATCCAAGATGAGTAGTTTCTGCAGAAAGGAAATTGATTAAAAGATACTGGGGCTACTGTTCCTGGGAAGATGGAGTAGAGGTTTTTCTCACTCATTCACTAAGTATATCTAAAAACCATATGCATTGTACATAAAACAATCACAAGGAGGCTAGAGGACAGCAAGTAGGCTAGGGACTTGGGAACCAAGAGTGATGACACAAGGCTGAGTTTTCTGGGCTTCCTTTTTAGCTCATATATTCCAGACTTGGATGAAGCTTGCATTCTGTAAATGAGAAGTGCAAAGGAGCAGAGATGATAAAAGCCCCAATGTCCACACACCTATAAGCCCAGAACTCTGGAAGGCTGACATAGGAGGATCACAAGTTCAAGTCCAGCCCACCTCAAAATTTGAAGAAAATATTTTAAAAGGCTGTACATGTCATTCAGTGCAAAGACCCTAGGTTCAATCCCCAGTAACACACATACACACGTGTGTGTATGTGTGTGTGTGTATACATGCTGAATATCTTTAGCCAAGGACAGGGAAAGGGGTTTGGTAGGAAGAAAGAAAGATTTAGACAATCAGTGAACTGTTGCAGCCAAAGATAAAAAAAAACAAAACTAGGTCCACCCTCACCCAGGCCAGCAAAGGCAAAAATGAGGAGTAGCTACATTTGGGAAGTAACCACATTTGGGGAATAGCCAGGCTGCAACAAGTCTCCTCAACACCCTCTTAGTGTGCTGTCAGAGAAGACCAAGTAGGGAGTTGTGACTTTCATCTACCCAAAGTGGCTATAAGCACCTGCCTCATGAGTGTTGGCAGAGCCTCATGAGGAGCCTGGACTTCCACCTCCAGCCAGCAGTGTGGAGGTGCCCTTTCCTACTCGTGTCAGGGTGGTGTGCCTATGGGAAGTCAGGGCTTCATCGGCACCCAAAGGTAATGAGGCCACCTCCCTGCACTGAGAGGTCAGTGGAGGACACACAGTAACAGGACACTCCTACTCTGCTGATCAGAGTGATACCAGGGAAGGCCTCATGGGCAGTTAGAACTTCCACTTCTGTCCCCAGAAGATGCACTCAGATGTCAGCAAGTACCAAATGGAGAACCTAGGCTTCTACCTCCACCTGGCAGTAATAAAGTAGCACCTCTCTTTCCCTGTCAAACCCATGTTTAAGACATCTGGCCAAAACAGAAGGTATAAATAAGATCTAGAGTATAACAGAATAGCCAAAATGTCCAATTTCAATAAAAACAATTTCTCATACTAAGAATCAAGAAAATTTTAACTTGGATGTTAAAGATAATCAACAGATGCTAACCCCAAATTGTTAGAAACATTAGAATTATTGGTGAAGATTTTC